GGGGGACAGTGTAGAGGGAGTTTTACTCTGTATCTAACCCTGTGCTGTCCCTGCCCTGAGGAGATTTGTAACCTGTGGTGAAGACACCTCTTTTCTCTGGTGTGTCTGTATGAACTGGGTGTGTTCCTTTGATTGACCACCCAATAACCTGACAGGAGAACCTCTGGATCACGCTTAGGTTTTGATGAAATGAAGAATACAGCCTCGGCTAATAGCTGGAATCCTCATACGTACTGTAGTTGCTGCTTGTGATCTTCTTACAGCTGCCAGTGTTGATGTTCAGGTCAACTCCAACACTTGTTGAGCCCAGTTTTTCTGACAATGTCTGTTGGATGTTGAAGTTTGCATCAAAGCCCAGACATCTCTTCACCTGTTCGCTGTTGATACCTGTGAACAGAGAACACAATGGATTTCAACTGGGGAATCAAGTGATCCTGACAAATGGCCAGGAGGTTGAAGCGACGGTGGGGAGAGGGATCTGATTGAGGCATGGAAAGCGTAGATCATGAGAATCATTTCCCCATGGCAGACATGTCTACGAGCAGAGGGCATCAGTTTGAGATGAGGAGTAAATAAGTTAGAGGGGATCAGAGAAAGAATTATTTCACCCAGAGGGTGGCAGAAATATGGAATGTCCTTCCTGGCAGGGTGCTGGAGGCAGGTACTCTAGCAACTTTTGAGATGCATCTCAAAATGCCAGAGCACTTAAAATGCCAGGGTATCGTAGGCAAGTGCAGGTAAATGGGATTTGTGTACTGTTTGTTGGTCAGCATAGGCATGGTGGGCCGAAGGGCCTGTTTCTGTGCTGTATGACTCTCTGACTCAGGGTTTAGCCCAGTCCATCCTGCTCTGTTCCGGTTCTGCTCAACTGGGATAAACTGCCCCCTACTGGCTCCCCATCATGCTACAGTTTGCTGTTTAAATTCTTAGCCATTTGTTTTCTAACCCCTTCATGTTCACCCCTACAGCCTTCCAAAACACCTCAGACTCCTCAAGTTCTGGCCTCTTACAACAGCATTTTTACAATATGTTCATGTCATGATAAAACTACACACCATCACCAACATTAATCTCTCCACCGATGATGTGTGTGCCTTCAGCTCAGCAATTCTCTTGCTAGATGATTGAGGCTACATCTGGTGCTTTAGCGTAAGCGTTCCTCAGGACTGATTATAGTGAGTAAAAGGTTGGTATCTATGGTATCTATCAGAACAGTTCTGAGGAAGGGTCACCGGACCTGAAACGTTAACTCTGATTCTTTTTCTTCACAGATGCTGCCAGACCTGCTGAGCTTTTCCAAGCAACTTCTGTTTTTGTTCCTGATTTACAGCATCTGCAGATCTTTTGGTTTTCAGTTAAACACACCGTTATTCTGCCATTCTCATATTCCGATAGCTTAATTTGAACTATCAACATGTTTTCTCCATCAGCACCTTATACCCCCACACACCTCCCTCCACAAACTGTAGCATAAATGCTGCCCCCTCCACACTTCACTTCAGCTCTGATGAAGAGTCATCTAGACTCGAAACGTTAGCTTGCTCTCTCTCCATGAATGCTGCCTGACCCGCTGTGATCTCCAGCACTTGTTGTGTTCAGTACGGGAGGGAGAATGTCCATGGTCATGGCATCCCACTGGATGTGGTGGAAATGGCAGCAAATGGAGGATGTGGATGCAATATTACAAATTGAGGAAAGTCAGGAACAATCTATCCAGCTATCTAACAGTTAGTGAGATAGCCAATTGAGTGTGAGGAAGGTTGGTATAAGCTGGGAGCTCATGAGATGAGAGCTCTCATACACACACAGCCAGCATAGGAACAATATTGTCATTTCTCATTGATAACCACTGCTGGCAAACTGTGTGTTTCTATGATTGGGCCCTTGTATTCAGGAGATGTGATAACAGTAGGAAGGGAACCAGAATGTGTTTGTAATGGAATTGTTAGAGATAGCCCAACTCTGAAAGAAGGAAAGTGCATTCATGTAGCGCCTTTCACCACTGCAATAAAATGAAGTGATTAACTCTATACTTGGCAGAGAGTTTGTATCAGTGCCATAGATCTTAAATCCAAAGTGAAATTGGAGAGTTTTCTGGAAGGGGTGTAACTCCAGTTCTTCAATATGGCACCACTTCTGAGAAGTTAGACTGTGGCTGAGGTAGCCATGGGGATAAAAACTAAAAAACAAATACTTGATGAAAGCTTATTGGCTTGGAGTTGTATCCCAGCCCATTCTGCTGCAGGACTGCCCAGTTACAGAACACAGAATTCATGTGAGGATAAACAAGAAAATCTCCCCACACAAATGGCAGCAAGAATTAAAACAACACTCTGGGAAGTGAATCATAGAATCCATACAGTGTGGAACATAGAACATAGAGCATAGAACAGTACAGCACAGTACAAGCCCTTCGGCCCAGGATGTTGTGCCGACCTATTATCCTACTAAGATCAATCTACCCCGCATACCCAACATTTTACTATCCTCCATGTGCCTATCCAAGAGTTGCTTAAAAGTCTCTAAAGTATCTGACTCCACTAAAAAGGAGGCCATTCAGCCCATACTGTCCCTCTAAAGAGTGGGACACCCAGATCCACCCTGTCCCTGTAACCCTGCATTTCTCATGGCTACCCATCTAGCCTGCACACTGTGGGTAATTTATAGTCAGAGAATTATACAGCACAGAAACAGACCCTTAGTCCCATCTCCCTCCAAATCTTTCCTCTTCATATACTTATCCAAATGTCTTTTTAAACATTGTAATTGTGCATGGCCAATCCACACATCTTTGGACTGTGGGAGGAAACCAGAGCACCCCCACACAGGAAATGTGCAAACTCCACACAGACGGTTACCCAGGGATGGAATCAAACCCAGGTCCCTGGCACTGTGAGGCAGCAGTGCTAACCACTGAGCCACCATAAGTGGCATAGGGCTGAATTAAAAGGATAGAATCCTAAAAGTGATGTGAGTAGCTCAGACATGCTGAAGAGCTGATTGTGAACGAGATGATCTCAGGATTGTTGAGATTAAGACAGGGTTGTCAATGCTCACTGTACCCAGGGACCATAGATTAAACATGTGAGTGCACAAGACAGACAAATGGAAGTCAGACGAATAGAAGATACAAGAAGCAATAGCAAGCATTAAATAGTATCAAAATGGAGAACATTGCTGGAATGGCTGAGTTAAGAAAATAGAACATAGTTAAGGGCAAGCTACCTGAAATCTGAATACACAACACAGCATTCATAAAATGGTTAATCCTTTGAATGCACATATTGAGGTGGATGGATCTGATTGAATTCCCATGATATGAGTACAGGCTGACCCAAGATTGGGAACTGAACATCTAGGATATTCTATGTTTAGCAGGGATAGAAAACGAAAGAGAAACGGAGGTGGGAGGTAGCACTCCTAAAAAGAGATGACATCAGTACATCGGGAAATGAAGATCTTCAGTTTGAAGAGTCAAGTGATAGATTCAGTTTAGCTGGAGCTGAGAAACATCAAGGGGAAGCAAACTTGGGTGGGGGATAGTCTGAGAGACTGCTGAAGAAACACAGCAGGTCAGGAGAGAGAAAAACAGAATTAACGTTTCAATTCCAGTGACTCTACAGGAGCGTAAGGAGCTGGAAAATATTGGTATTCACACTGTTGGCAGAGATGGAGGAAGAGAAGGTGGCCCGAAGAAGGGTCACTGGACCTGAAATGTTAACTCTGCTTTCTGTCCACAGATGCTGCCAGACCTGCTGAGTTTCTTCAGCAATTTCTGCTTTTGTTTATTTGTTTCAGATTGTGAGGGTACCCCGAGCAAAATACAAAGATGACTGGTAATAAAGGTAACGATGTGTAACGGTAGTGATGTAAATTGGATGTAAGTGAAGGGGTGAAGTGGAGAAAATGGGTCCATTCTGCTCAAAGCAAAGTAAATGATACATAGACACAGCAGGGTGAGGGATGTAAGAATCAGAGGGGACAGAGGTGTCACTTTAGTGGGTTTGAAACGCATTAGTGAGCACTCGACACTGTGGAGTGCCCATGCAGAAAATAAAGTGCTGCCTCCTCAGTGTGTGGTGCTTCTTTAGAATATTGCAGCTAGCCCGGGACAGGAATGCTCACAA